CCAGTGAGTTTCTAATGAAGACTTCTATCTTTAAATGTCATATCCCCAAAAAAGCATAGAACTTTGGAATTAGCTTATATTGCAGCAATAGTGCAAGACTGTTAGAATTAATTTATTTGGTAGTTATATCTTGCATGTAATATGGATATCATTAAAAATGCTAAAGAAAAGAGTAAAGTAGGGCTTCCCACAGAATAAGGAAGAGGATTGATTTTTCTGGAGGGTGAGAGGAAATCGTTTATGGGAAAATGAAATGAGACCTCAAAAACCTAAATTCCACAGCAGTCTTTCTGTTCTCTTCCAGAATGAATTTATTCTAGAGCTTAAATTATGTAGTTCTTATAATTTAAGATCCCTGTAATTATCATGCCTTTAAGTTTCCTAGTCCTTCCATCCATAGCAGCTCTTAACTACCATTTAACACTCTCTTTCTCATTCCTCCCCACCCCCCAACGTAAAATTCAAAAATGAATTGCCAATTTTTTTTCTAGACTAAGTTAGAAAGTTACATGAGATTAAACTTTTGTTCATCTTGGGTTTAAATAAAGACCTTTGAAATTCAATAAGATTGAATTGTTGCTCTCCCCTACCAATCTCCTCCAGATTTGTCTAAAACAGTGTCACTGTCATCAACCAAGTCACCCTTGCCGGAAACTGGAAGGCATCCTCTTTCTCCTCTACCTTTTACATCCAATTCTGTCACCTAGTTCAATTGATTCTACTTCTATAGTACATCAAAATAATCCACTTCTCTTCATTTCCACTGTCCTCACTCTAGTATGAGTTACTTTATTTTTCAACCAGAAAAATAAATAGACTCCCAAATGACCTACCTACTTCTCTTTCACACTCCTGCCATTCCATTCTTCTAACAGCAGTCAAAGAAAGTTGTTAAAATACCATCTGATTATGTCACACCCTTGCTTAAAATGAAAGTTGAGTATCACTTAGTGGAAATATTTGGAATCAGAAGTGGTTCAGATTTCACATTTTTTTGGATTTTAGAATATTTGCATATGCATGTTGGGTTATCTTGCGGATAGGACCCAAGTCTACACACAAAATTCATTTATGTTTCATATACACCTTATGCACATAGGCTGAAGGTAATTTTACATAACGTTTTTAATAATTCTGTGCCTGAAATAAAGTTTTGACTACATTTTGACTATGACCTGTCACATGAGGTCAGGCATGTAATTTTCCACTTGTGGCATCTTGTTGGCACTCAAAAAGCTTTGGGTTTTGGAGCATGTTTGATTTCAGATTTTTAGATTAGGGATGCGCAACCTGTACTTCAATGTCTTCCTGTTTCACTTCAGATAAAGTCCACAATCTTTACCATTACGTCAGAGTCCCTGCTTGGTTTGCCCCAACTAACATACACCCTTTTGTAGTTTGTTGTTTTGATTGCAAGCACCAGAAACAAACTCTGGTTTCAGGATAAGGATGCAGCTGACTAGGAAGGAGAAGTTGAATAACCAAGGCTTAGGGAGGTGATGAAACCAAATCTACCCCCAGGAATCTCAGCAGCAGCTGATGTATTTGTTTTCCTGGAATGCTGCCATTAATGTGACTAGTCTTGTCTCCATGTTTTTTAAACTTTCCAATTATCATAAGAAAGAATTGATCAGTGTGGCCTTTATCAGATTTTTACCCCTGGATCTATTATCTACTTTCCAATCTATCTCCATGAGGGAGGTCTGTCTTCCTCATTAATGTACAATGTGCTCCTGGCATAGAGTAGATATTTGTTAAATATTGAATAATGACCACTTGATAGAATAAATGAATTGGCATGACCCGAAGACTGGTTCAGTTAATACAGACATGACCATTGGGGGTTCATGCCAGGGTTTGGGGGTCCATTGCATGGTTGTGTGGGAGGCAAGCACTCAAGAGAAAACCTCCACTTCAACTCTTCAGCGTCACCTTGCTCCACTCTCCCCCCTATATCAGGGGCCTTTGGCCTTCTTTTCATTCCTCCAAAATGTCAAGCTCTTTCCAAACTCATAGACTTTGCACATGCTACCTATTAATCTGATCTGTTCTTCCACACTGTGCTAGTTTTAGAATTATTGCTTCTCCGCTCCAATTTATCCTTTTTGCCTGATTTGTTCAAATATATCTGGGTCTTTTAAATATTCGTTTTCTTTTGTCAACTGATAATGTTAAATTTGACAGTAGAGGGCACTAGAGAGACATTGCAGGAGGGAAATGGTCTTTCCTGATGGTGTCCTTTCTTGGCAGGCCCATGAAACATGGGCAGCCTGCTGACACCAGGCTCTTGTCACAGATGCAACTTCTGTGACACTGGACTTCTGTAATGCATGGCAGCCAGCAGCTTCTTCTGACATCCATCTTGGACAGCTCTGTAGCAGAGTGCCTCCTGTAGGATACTTCCCCACAAACAACTTTCCCTGGCACCCTAGAAAATAGATTTCTGGCAAGTTCCAGAGGATGAAGATTCATCAAGTTTCACTCCTTTGGACCACAATGACTTCTTTGCCATCCAGTGACCCATGAGTGTGAGCTCTCCAATAAGGTCTTGATCTCTGTCCTGGAGGTAATGGCTGGCTCCTCTACCTGTTATTCCTCTACTCTTTAGCACTTTCTTACCTTTTACTAGGCAATCCATTGTCACTCCAATCACTTGTTGTACTTAATAATTATTTATATTAAAGTTCCCCTGTTCAAATTACCATGTAGTTTCTCTCTCCTGACTGGCCCCACACTGATGTATTCTCCACCTGGCTACTTTATTCAGTTAGGTGTTAATATCATTTCCTCAGAGATGCCTTCTCTAATTCCTCAAGTCAAATTTTATCTGCTAACTTTTTCTTTATAGCACTTTTCACAGTTTTAAAATTATATATTTATTCACGTGATTATTATATTTCTATTTTTTTTCTGCTAGATAACAAGGTCCAAGAAGGCAGGGATCATGTTTATTTTGTTTATTGCTATAATCCCAGTGCCTACCATAATTCCTGACACAATAAATTGTCCTACTATATACAAGTCATTAGTAGCAACTAAAAAGAATAATCCCTATTCACAGGGAGTTGGCAAATTTATATGAGAAAATAAGACCCCCACAAAAAGTATAAAGCCTTCAAGGGAAGGTTCTAAAAGGTCCAAATGGTAAGTACTGATAATTCAGGGACAATCAAGAATTTTATTTTAGAAAAGAACTTCATTTCTTATAAACATCCCTAGAAAATAATTTTGTCTTAGCTAATTCAATCTATCATTATGTATTGGTGGAGAGGGAAATGGTATAAATAAGATCCATTTATTGTTTTGGAAGATATTTTTTGGTAACTTGACAGTGAGTTATTAATTTCTCTGAGAATTATTTTTTTAAATCCAGCATTGTATCTTTTTTCCATTTGTTTTATTCATGTGGTTTTCCTAAAGTAAAAGTAATTAACTATAAATTGGGGGTAAATTACTCATATTTCTTCTTTTCTAGTACGGAACTTCTCTTGCTTTAAGCACTTCATTTAGTGTGCACTGGGAAGGGCTGGCTGTTACCTGTTTATCTCTATGGTGAGGCAGCCTTCTATAGGCGCATACTTTGGTATGATCTGGGGCAAATCACAGATTTATGTATTCTAAGGTTTGGAGGGGGTAATAGTTACATCCTCTTCACTTTCTTCATGTGAATATGAGAGACTGTACTATATGCTCTCAGATCCCTTCCAACTCTTTTTCTGAAAATAAGCACATACCAGAGTATCAGCTGAGCAATAAGTCCCAGTGTTAGGTATGTGTCTGCTGAAAGTCCATGGTTATTTAGTGCATCATTTGAATTGTAAATTTTGTTTAGAATACATACTTAATGAGGTTTGGCATTTTATGGTGCCAAATATCTATTAGGGTTTGATTCCTTAGCCCACCTTGATCACATAATGCAACCTTCCTGGCTTTCAGCTTCTTGATTATAAGGAGAACAATACATTGACAAGATAACATGGAGTTTTTGTTCAATTAATAATTTTTTCTGAGTATTTATGTGCCAGGCAGTGTAAGAGGCATCGAGGACACAGCATTAATACATGATTTTATTTCTGTCCTCTATATTTAGGGTAAATTGACACAGGAAGAAACTGGTGTTATGAAGTTAAGTTAGAAAGTCATTGTGGTCAATCACTCATAAATCGCAATACATTATTTGTTATTTTTAGTATTTTCTATTAAATAAAAAAACCACCTTCTATAAGATAGGACGGAAATTATTCAAGATATATACTGTGTCAAACTGAAAAAGGAATAAACAGAGTTAAAGATTTATTTGACCAGAGACAAGAAAGCAATCAGGGAATGCAAAATGGAAGTTAGACTTGTTCACTGAGCGCTTTGAGACTCCTAGTTGAGAAGATGAAACTCACGCACAATTTGCCTCTTAAGGGAAGGTCTCGAGATGTATGGCAATAGAAATATTTTTGTAGCTGCAAAGTTTAGTACTACTGGGTGAGAGTTGGTTAAAATAGTTTAAAGGTGAGCTAGTCAAGGGAGGTCAGAGATAAAACAAACCTGACTGCTAATATTCAGATTTAGAAAAGCAATATTCACCCCCGTAGAATGGCAACTCCACTAGTGTGTGCAGCTCCCAACTCAGACGCAGAACCACCTATTGAAAATTCGAATGTGCTACTCGAGAGACTGCAGGGTTTCTATTTCTGACCCGGGGATTATAATCATTTTATTTTAGCAACGTCCTCATTACAAGACCAAAGCCAACAGTCTTCCTTCCAGACTCTCCCGCCCACTGTCCCGACTACGGCTCCAGCCCTAGACAGAGACAGGCGAGAGCAGACGTCAAAGGCCGTCCTGCCAGCTAGACACAGCCAAGCTGCCTTCCCCGCGCCTTCTGGAGAGAGCTGACTTCCCATTGGGCCAGCCTGGGGCCATGGCTGGCTCCCGATTGGCTTAGAGAGAGGCGTGCCTCTACGTCACGCCCCCTCTACAGTTTCCTGGCTGCTCAGGATTGTGGGAGGGTTGGGGAAAGTCCCGGAGGAAGAAAATAACCCGGAACGACCTTTGCGGGCCTGGGTCGGCCCTCTTCCGGAGTTGATGTCTCCTCCCACCAACCATGCGAACTCCACCCCATACCCCGCCCGCTCTGGGGGATCAGGTGATCTCAGGCCAGCACGGTCACGTGGGCTGGGGCGCGCCCGCCTGTCGTGGCCATGGCTGCCGCAGGCCCTACTGTGGTGAGGCGAGTGGAAGAGCTCGGGGACATGGCTCAGGCCCACATTCAGCAACTTAGTGAAGCTGCCGGTGAAGACGGTGAGGGAGCGGAGAGGGGAGTGGGTGGGGCGAACAGCTTTACAGGGCTGGCGCTCGATGGCTGTAAAAGCGGGAGGCTGTAGCCAGTGGTCCGTCGGGGTCCCAGGCCGTAGCTCTCCCGGGTCTCGCGCTCTTATCTCCGCTGCGGTGTCGTTTGCCCACTCCCCAGAACTCACATAGCCAAAGCGTTATTGCAAAATACGGCTAGAAACCGTATTTTTCAGAACCCTTGAAAATCTGTCCCGTAAGGGTATCTCAGCCAGTTCTTTGCTGTCGGGTTTAACTGTCTCAGCGATTGGGTTAAAAGCGTAGAGTCTGAATAACAAAGTACACGTAAAAGTTTAAATTAGTGATAGTAGTTTTGCATCCAGGAAAGATAGGCAGGTATAAGCGTCCTACCTTTTCATTGCTGCGTTGTGAATTTCCGTTTTATGTTTTGGATTTAATACTTAACTGTAAACAGTATTCTACAGAAGAGATTTACATTGGTTGTAATTTAGAGTATTCTTTCGCACATATCTTCTCAATTCCCACAAGGGCTCTGCATTAGAACACTTGTTTTGGAAACGTCTAAGCTGTTTCTTTAGGAAAAACTGGCTTAGAGAATTACCTCGGTCTTCTGATGTTAAGTCCAATTCTCTTTTCATTACTTCTCAGCTGCCTGTAGGTTCTGCATTCATACTTTTTGAGTTTTGAGTCATTACTACAGATAGGTTTATAAAATTCTTGTGGACTGACTCATTGTCATCAGATTCATAGGAAAACAGTGTTGGCACATTTTCCCAAGCGATTGAATAGTTGGTGAATTTATTAAATAGAATCTGTGATAAAATGCCTTCATTTCAGTGAAGATTCTTTGACAAATTATCTTTTCTCGGGATTGTGTTCTTCAGTGACCCGTAGACCACCCTGAAGCTGACTTTTGTTTTATTTGTTTGTTTGTTTTTGGTTTTTGGTTTGTGGTAAGTGAATTCCAGGCTTCACATGAATAGTTCTTGGATAATAGTAGCTATTCTTGGAAGTGTATCTGAGTTACCTCTAATTCCAGCTCCATTTGAAGGAGACCAAAGAGATCAAAGAATTTTTTTATTAAGTTATCACAGAATCCAATAGCCATTCTCATTTCCCTTGGAACAGTTGTTTAATCCTGTTTAGAATGAGTGAGGGCTGGAAATAAAAGTCAGTAGTGCTGGCGAGGTGGTGGCTTCCGTCTGTAATCTTAGCACTCTGAGAGGCTGAGGCGGAAGGATCGCTTGAGGTCAGGAGTTCAAGACCTGCAAGAGGGAGACCTGGTCTCTACTAAAAAGAGGGAAAAAAAATAGCCGGGCAACTAAAAATAGTAAAAATTAGCGGGGCACACACGTAGTCCCAGTTACTCGGAGGCTGAGGCATGAGAATTGCTTGAGCCCAGGAGTTTTGAGGTTGCAGTGAGCCATGATGATGTCACTGCACTCTATCCGGGGCAACAGAGCGAGTCTGTCTCAAAAAGAAAAAAAAAAGTTAATGGTGCCATGTATTCTATTTTTGTTTGGGGGCTTTATACTTCTGAAAACTTGCTACAGTGGTCCATATTAGGAGCTATTATCAATATTAAAGTCAGTTTAATCTTATTAAAGTATTAACTAGCATGATTTTCTTTTATGAAATTTAATTAAAACAAGATTTGCATGCATTTGAATTGACCTTGGCATTCTTTTCCCACACAACAAAAATAATACACTAATTCAAAATTTGTCCTTTAGTGTAACAGCTACATATTTATACTAGGTTATAGGGGTTTAATATTTCCCATTGTCTTTTTCAAGTTAGATCAGATGCAGACATTATTCCTTCTAAGAATGCTCTTTTTAAATTTCTGGCCAATTTTTTGTTCATTTCTTTCCCATTGTACAAGCACAATATGTTTAGTATCTGGAAGTATGCCATGAGAGGGACTTTTTCCAGAGACTATTAAGAATCACTTTCATCTTTTGCCTTGCCAATCGTTTGACTAAATAGTTCTAGTAAAATTACTGCATTTTTATGGGCTTTCCAAAATGTGAGCTGTGTCACACTGCTCCCCACAGTAATTATTTCATGAGTTCATGTGACATACTGCAGCAATGGTTTAGTGAGTACAATGAAAGTCTTTACATTTAAAATAGTCTGCAAGCTAAGAAGAAAATATCAACACAGTCTAAAGATGCATCTAAGGAGTGCCATGTTCGATACAATTTCAGTTAATAGTAGAATCTTTTTTGGGGGACATTGTATGGGTGTTACTTCTGGGCTAGGGGTAGGAAAACAGTGCTAAAGAAGTAGCTTTCAATTCAGGTGAATAGTTGATTTTAAAGCAGAATCCTGTCTACCTACAGGTAGACTTGACTTGGGAAAACTTAAGGTCATATGATTGCCAGCAGACATAACTTGTAGGTGCTTTTGCTCCAACATTGAACAGTTTATCTGCCTGTGTAACTGCTGAGGCTGGATCAGATGGGCCTTCATGAAGACAAGTTCAACATTATCTGTGTGTTGGCCAGTGAGGAAAAAATGGAATATATTTCAGAAGGGAAACATACAGGGGCAAACTCAGGGACTTTAGTGTCTTGACACCTCAATTTCACTGCATGAGGTGATGCAGAAGGGTGTATAGTACCTTGGAGTGGGCACATAAGAAAAGTAAAATAATACAATAAATTAAGGGATTATGACATTACAAACAGGGGAAAAAATTAGGAGACAGTGAAGGGGGAGGGGGTATTGTGATCCTTGGGCATATTAGAAGGGTTTAGTTCATTTTCTTCTATGTTTTAAAGAAATTAGGTAATTTGTTTCATTTCTAAGTTTTTAAGGAAATAAAATACACAGATGCATTATGTAATTTTAATTGTAGCAGCCAGAAACACATGGTAAAGTTATAATTGCTCAGAGTGTTGACATTTTATGAGGCATTTAATTTGGTCAGTTGTGTTCTTTTAGAAAACATTTACAATTACATTTATGAAATTGTAAGTTTTTAGTGGAAACCCTTTCTCTAGATTTATATATATTTGTACTATTCCAGTGAAAGTTTTTATTTAAACATTAAGTGCATCAACATCATAAGAGAAGTATTATGAATTTGAATACAGACTGCATTCAAGAAATGGCAACAGTGAATCCAGAAAGTTTTCAGACTTTTGCTTTCCATGATAAATGTTTTTAATTAGGATTAGGCATTTTGATATATTTTATGTTTTAGATAAGATATTATTACTATCATGCTGTTTCTCCATATACCACAATTTTCATCACATCATTTCAGATACATAATTTTTTTTGTTTAAATAGCATTCTGAAACTATGTGTAGTAGTTATCATGTTTTTATTCCTTACAGATCACTTTTTAATTCGGGCCTCTGCAGCATTAGAAAAATTGAAACTTCTATGTGGAGAAGAGAAAAAATGTTCAAATCCATCAGATCTTCTAGAGCTTTACACACAGGTACTGAAATAGATGTGAACTCTATCTTAAAACGGCAGATTTAAAGTGTTAATTTGTTCAAAAAACTGTATGTATAAAGCATATAGACTTGGAACTTTGATGCCATATATAGAGGTAATATTTATGAGATGTGTTGATAAGAAAAGTCAGGGAAAAATTCTTCCAGATAACAGATTTGCTTCCATTTACAGATAAAAAGCAGAATTCTAGTGCATGCAGTATCCAAGTTCCTGATGGTTTCAAAGAGAGTAGGGAATTCTGTAAGGGCCCTGAATATGTTTTTTTCTCTTATAGCTACCTTTTCTTAGGAATCTCAATGTGGCTCCCCCTTCTAGTATCACTCCTGTCCATGAGATTTTTTTCTGTTCCTCCTTTTTTCTTTTATTTTCTTTTCAAATTCAGGCCTCTGTGTGGACAGTACTTGTTTTCTTTGTTTTCTGGAATACTGCTGAGACAAGCTGACATCAAGAAATATAATTTCATTATAGTAACTAACATTTATTTAGCACTTTGTAATTGATAGAGTGTTTTCATATGGCCTTTCTTGATTGTTAAGGGATAATACAACTGAAACAGTTATAGGAGTAAACTTAATTAAGCTTCCAAATTGCCCATTTGTAGCATTTACATGCCTGGCACTGTGCTTTCTGTTAGAAGGTACATAAAGATGGTTTCTGCCTTCAAACATCATGGCTGACTGCGCCTAAAAGCTACTCACAAACCCCAAATAACTGTTATAATTCAGCAGGTACTTTGCTTTACTTTGTTTCCTTTCAGAAGGCTCCTGCTTGTCTGCATATATGGTGGATGACACCTCATTTTTTTTCACATGGAAGTGTTCTAAATATTTTAATTTACTTCCTTGAATAAGACAAAAGACCTAGGGATGCAGATTTAAATTTCCCAGGTCTTCTTGAACCCTATTTATGGTTCTAAATCAACAGATCATCCTCTGTAGGATGATGTTCTCTCCTTCCTGGCTTAGGCCTTCCACACAGTAACACTTACCACTTCAGGATCACTAACTGTGTGCTAGGTAATGTTCCTTACATATGTTGTAATGTGCTTTACATACGTTAATTAATTCTGGAATTTAGAGAGGCATTTAGTCCAATTTATCGTTTTACCAGTGAAGAAACGAAGGCTCAAAAAAGATAAAATTGACTTGACCTTTGTTAGTTAGGTGGTTAGTGGTAGAACTGACAGTAGAACCCAGTTTCCTTAGTTTTAGTCCGATAGAGTGAAAAAAGAAAAAGGACTGGGGAGTTTTAAGATGCTGGAATAGAGTGTGTCTAGTATTTAGGAATGCCGGAGACTTAGCGTCTGAATTGCATAATGTTGATGGTATGCTTCCTTCATAGGGTGGCAGGGTATATGTCCCCCAGTTACTGGCTGTGTGTTTGGAAAAACATAAATCCTTTGAAGATTCATTATACAAAACTATAGGTGGTAACCTTAATTTGATATAGCAGGCATTTAGAAAGTTTTCAGGGATTATATATGGATAAATAGCAAAGAATATAATAATTATATTTTTCATAATTTTATATAATTAACTTATGTTAATTAAAACAAATCTCTTATTTTTGGAGGGAAACAAGATAATCATTAATTCAGTACTTTAGTAAAATACCTATGAAGTTTTCTATAAGGTCTGTCTCAAATTATGTTTATAGCTAGGTATTTTGCCTACTTCTGAAACTTAAATACTGTGCTAAAAGACTTAAATGTCTAATAAAGCACCTATATGTGTAAGATTAAACAGTAAGAGTTATCCTTTAAAATGTAAATCATTTATAGGTACTTTTTTTTTTTCTTTAGGCTATTTTGGACATGACATATTTTGAGGAAAACAAGCTAGTAGATGAAGATTTTCCTGAAGACTCTTCTTCACACAAAGTAAAAGAGCTCATCAATTTTCTTTCAGAACCGGAAATTTTAGTTAAGGAAAATAATATGCATCCAAAAGTAAGTTTTGCACTCTTGGAAATTATGGTGGAATGTTGCTAGTTCTTGCTGTCCTGCTTTTTGAAGTCTATTTTTTTCTTCTTGATTGTATCTTTGTTTCTGTTTTAAATTAAGATTGAAGGCGGGAAATATAAGAGCTCAATATTTCAGACCAATGTCACAAATAAAGCATCATATTTTAATAAATGTTTCAGAATATTTGCATAATTTGCATAATGAGATTATAATTACAGTACCTAATCATTTTCTGAGATACTCCCATTTCTGTTCCCTTTACTTTTTGCAGATGCTGTGTTTTCTTGAAGGTCACTTAATCTAATGACCTTATCTTTTGTTCTTTTAATAGTCTTCATCCTTCTGAACATTTGCTGCCTTTCTTAGTATTGATCCCCTTCCTTCCTACATGCTTCTTTTCTCCTTCTTTTTTTTTTTTTTCTTTTTTAAGAGACAGGATCTTGCTCTTCTGCCCAGGCTGCAGTGCAGTGGCTTGATCGTAGCTCACTCTAACCTTGACCTCCTTGGCTCAAATGATCCTCCCACCTCAGCGTCCAAAGTAGCTGGGACTACAAAAGTGCATCACCACACCCAGCTAATTTTCTTCCCATCTTGGCCTCCCAAAGGGCTGGCATTACAGGTGTGAGCCACCAAACTAGGCCATCTCCTGAGAAGTAAGAAGCCCTCTCTTGCTCTTTCCCTAGCAACTACCCTTTCTTTCATTCTAGAAAAAAAGGCACTAAAGTTGAAAGAATAACCCATAGGATATCTCTTTTATCCTCTGATTGTCTCTATTCTGTCTCTGCTTGACAACTTATTCACATGCTTTTTACTATTATCTTTATTTAGGTAATTCTAAGATTTATATCTCTAGGTGAGCATGGTGGCTCACATCTGTAATCCTAGTATTCTAGGAGGCCAAGGCTGGAGAATCACTTCAGCTCAGGAGTGCTAGACCAGCCTCAACAAGAGCGAGACCCTGTCTCTACTAAAAATAGAAAAAATTATCCAGGAGCTATGGTGCATACCTATAGTCCCGGCTACTTAGGAGGCTGAGACAGGAGGATTGCTTGAGCCCAGGAGTTTGAGGTTGCTGTGAGCTAGGCTGATGCTACAGTTCTCTATCCCAGGCAACAGAAAAGAGACTCTGTCTCAAAAAAAAAAAAAAGGATTTATATCTCTAATCCTAGATACTCTTTCAAGCACATAATTTTCATCTTTAACTGGATGCTATCTATTAGTACTGAGATAGATATGTTTTTTGTTTCCTATATTTATCAGGGAAGGCTAACTGTGGAAACAAATCATCCCCAGATTTAAATAACATGTTGCCATAAAAGTTTTGATTTCTTAAAATTATTTTTATGTATAGCTTTTTGATAGTTTATTCTAGCAGTAATAGAAATAGATATGTTCTTGCATCAAGTAATGTATTTCTGAGAAGTTATCTTTTTAATCAGATTGTGACTACTTGTATTTCAAATATATTAGGGTAATTTTCTACTAAAATACTTTTTAAATTATTTTATCAAACTATTTGCAAATTGAACTATTTTAATTTTCATGTACCAATAAACTTCCATATTTCTAATTGATTCAAAGTAAAGCATTCCTGTGTAAGCAAAGGGCACATTTTGTGACGTGACGTAATTGCTGAATTTTTGAAATTTAACTTTGACTTTTATAAATGCCAAGTTCTCTTTTTAGCTATGTCTTTGTGTTTCAGCACTGCAATTTGCTCGGGGATGAGCTACTGGAATGTCTCTCTTGGAGACGAGGAGCCCTACTATATATGTATTGTCATTCTCTGACGAAAAGAAGAGAGTGGCTCTTGAGAAAATCTACTTTGCTTAAAAAGGTAAAAAGGCATTTCTTACACATTTTTGGTTGTTAATATTTATAGGTTTCAAGAAGCTATCTTTGCTGTAATAGTAAGAGTAGTAGAATCAAAGGGTCTGTCTAGGTTTGTATTCTAGATCTTTCACTTACTGGCTGATTAATCTTAAATAAATTGGGATTGTTTTGAAGACTAAATAAGATAATACATGGAAGCACTGTGTAAACTGGGGAGTTCTACCTGCTTTTTTTAAGATCTGGATTTTTATTATTTTAAATATAAGATAAACTATATCTATTTCTAAGCATTTTGTGTGTGTGTGCGTGTGTGTGTGTGTGTGTGTGTGTGTAGGCTAAAGGAAACACTTGGTTGGAAGCCTCTGTCAGCACAGTCTTCCTAAAAAACCCACATGACCCTGCTCTTAGAAAATCGTGGCCCTCTGATTCATCTTTCTTGTTCTGACCAAATCATTAAATCCAAAGACATGGGTCTTAGTTTTGTATACTAAGGATTTGGACTTGTATTAAATGTACACGTAGTTTAGGTGGGATTAGAAATGGAAGGTCACTTTTCAGATATAAAAGTTTGATCATAATATTTCTAAATTATAAGTATATACATGTTTTTAATAAATTGTTATTGAACACATCTTTATTATCTTTATCCTTTTTCTTCTACCATCTTTGACAAGTATACTAATGAAATGTGTCCATGGTTAACATTTTTTTTTCCTAGACTCTTACTAATTGGAGCATTTGAAGGTGTATACTTACATTATGAAAGTCTTGGAGTGGTGGGACCTTATACCATTGAAATGTAATAGTCATAAGCTATACATATATTATATATTGGCCCATTTTTTCTCGAATAAAGAATGGAAAACAATATTTGAAGTTTATACAACTCTGAATATAATTATTTTAATTCTTTGGCTTTTACTTTCGTTTAGTACCTTGTTGATGGAATCAATTACTTGCTACAGATGCTAAATTATCGGTGTCCTATCCAGTTAAATGAAGGGGTTTCTTTCCAAGACCTAGACACGGCTAAATTACTGAGTGCAGGTAATGTGATCTGTTTTTAAAGTTTTATAAGTGATTTAAGTCTTTTTAAGATTTTTGGAAGTTTTATTAGATTTTACTTTGATTTAAATAAATTTCAAGCTCAATTATAGACAAAAAAGTAATAAAAGGGCTTTTAAAAAGTTTAAAGATTAGAATCTTTTTATGTAATGTAGAAAAGTACTCCTAATCTCTTCTGTTTAGTAATTTTGGAAGAGTTGTGTTATTTTTATGTATTTCACATCCCACACAGCCCCAATCAGCATTTTATCAGAACTAGGTTTGGCTACTTGCAACAGACCAGAAGTAACTTTTAAACAAAGTAGACATTTAGTGATCTTTCACATAGAAATGGTCTAGAGCTGGTATGGTTGCTCCATGGCATCATTATGTTATTTTTTCTTTCATTATCTTTAGAACAGAGCCCTTCAGCTTCAGAAGGAGGCATTTTATATAGAGTACAACATATATGATCCTTTCCAAAGTTGCTGGCATGTATCCCTGTTTACAATACTGCTTCCATTCTCAGTATCCCAAGGCGCTCTTGGAGCCCCTATCTCACCTGTGTTTCAGGCTACAGGAATGGCAAAAGGGAATTTCTTTCAGCCAAGTCACCTCTTTTAGAGCAGCCTTTTCAGAAGTTTCTTATGGCCTCCATTTTACTGGCTAGAATTTAATCAGATGACTTTACTTAGCTTTAAGGAAACCTGGGAAGTACAGTTCTTAACCTGATATATTGTCATCCCAAATAAAATTAAGGTTCTTTACTAAGAAGGTGGGGGGGGGTTGGGAGGGGTTGAGGGGGAAGGAGGGGGAGAGAATGAATTCTGGATAGCAACTGTAAGTTTCTGCCACAAACATCTGTGTACTTGAAAATTCTAGGAACTGAATGTAGATCATCATTTGGGTTTTAGACTGGAATGTGGGGGAGAGAAGAACCACTTACTTTTAACATCTCTTTATAAGTTGAGAAACTGAGGTCCAGGATAACTAGGTGACCTGCTTAAGGTCACATGGCTGCGAGTGACATTAGATCATATATGTGAACTTTTCTTCTTACACTTTATCATAAGAAAACTTGGGAAAAACTCTAGAATTTTGATTCTTCTTATTTCTTTATAGCCTCTTCAAGCTTTTCCTTCCTATTTAAAAACATTTCATAGATAAAACAAGATGATTTAAGTGTTATTAACATGGTGTCCAAAAATTGTTACTTTCTGTTCATTAAGAGAAACACTTTATCCTAAAGTGACTTATTTTGTGAATACAAAGAACTCCCTAATGGGCATGTCATTTTTACAAACGTAGGGTATTTTGATTTATTTATGGAAAGTATAGAAGGAATGTCTGGAAAATATCCAGCCATAGATGTCTCCATTTTTCATATTATATGCTGGATTTTTTCCAGACAGCCCTCAAATATTATTATATTAGTTATTAGTTCTTCCAGATAACAAATCAACCAATTAAAGTCATTTAAAGTCATTTTCCAGGATAAAAGAAAACAATACAGGCAGCACAGTAGTTTTGCCAGAGCCGTCAGTCCTCTTATGGTGTTGGCTTCTTGTTCTCATCTAAAGCTTACTTTGCCCAAATCCATCTCTCTGAAGATGATTAGATTAGAAGCAAGGCAACCTGCTTTTATTGGCTAAATTACTCCTAATACTCCATTGGAGAGGCTGTAATTACTTTTTGTTAGCCAATCTAAACTGTAATTCTGAATAGTTCTTAATATTTAGGGAGAAAAGTTCTATATAGGGCATCAGAATATTTTTGTGGCCATATTTTAGTGATGTTACCTAATTTTAGGTAAAACAATGTATAATTTTTGTTTCTTTTTCCAAGGCAAGATAATCATACTGTTGTTTAGACATTACCTGTATGTCATTAAATTTTCAGCTTTCAAAAACTACCAAATGTATACAATAAGCCCATGTACCTCAGCTCTGAGCCTCACTCTTCCATGAAGTGGGGCCAGAGAATTTTAATCTTTGGACATGGACTCATCAGACAAAGAGCTTGTAAAAATAGCCTTGTCAGAATAAACCTGAAATCAAATGGGGGAAAATCAAAATACTGTCCAGCTTTTACACCCATGGTTTATGCCCTTTTTAATACCACTGAAGACTCTCTCTCCCCTGCAGATCTGAACTGATATCACTAACAGAGTGTGGGAACATGATGAAGAGAGGTTGGTTAATGGTACAAACATACAATTAGAAAGAAGGAATAAGTTCTGATATTTGATAGCAGAGTAGAATGGCTATAGTGAACAACAATGTATTATATTTTTCAAAATAGCTAGGAAAGGACTTGAAATGTACCGAACACATAGAAATGATATTCAGGTGATGGATACCCGAAATACACCAGCTTGGTCGTTACATATTCTATGCATGCAACAAAATTTCACATGTACCCCATAAATACATACATATATAACATAGCAAAATTTTTTTTAAAGTACAGATTTATGTGTATCTCATGCAGTTTCTGATTCAATATATGAAGCCCAGGAATCTATTTTTAATAAGCAGCCTAAATTGTTATGATGTAGGCAGATTTGGACATCACTGCTCTCAGAAGGTGCCAGTCTAGCCACTTTTTTTGTGAGAAAGTCACCTTTCTGCCCTCTCACTTGATAGGTTATTCTCCTTCTCCATCCCCACCTACACCCCCCATGTCACATACGCCCTTCCCACATATGCATTTACCAAGGGCATGCACAGTTAAAGTGTTTTATTGAAAAAACATGCTGAGTATTAACAGAAAAAGAAAATATCAAGAAAATTTATAGAAACAAAGAGCTTGTATCTAAAGAGTAGTGGGCTCCTTGTAGGAATAGAGAAGAAAAATGTACCTAATTTTTACCTTGGTCATCTCTTCCTTTGGTATTTTAATGCAGTAGTTTTAAAAGTACTCTTTGGACCAGAAGCATCAGAATCACCTTAAGTCTTAGGAGTTATTTTAAAAAGATGCAAATTCATAGACCCAACCCCATACCTGAATGTGAAACTGGGGTGAGGGGCCAGCTATCAGTATTTTAGTAAGTCTACAATGTAATTCAAATGCAAGCAAAAGTTTGAGAACCACCATTTATCATAACACCCATTCATTCTCTTTCTAGAAATGCCTTTCTGGTAGGATATCTCTGTATCTTCGTCATGGGTTACTCTTTGTTGCTAATATAAAGAATGAGGTTAACCTAAAGAGTGGGCAAAAATTGTTTCTCAGATCTCCCTTAGGAAAACATTTCTCACCACGTAGCTTCACTTTGTGGGACATAACTTCAGCTCTTCCTCCCAAAGTTCTAGCCTGTTTGGTAATTCAACTTTCCCTCCATTTTTGCATCTCTCTCCTTACTTTTCTACACTGGTCTTTTTAGGAATAACTAGATAGAGTATAGGATCACAAAATAAAAAGGATATATATTCAGTCAAATGCTATATCTAATAAAAAATCATTCTGAATAATACCCAATGCTGTATCCAGCCTTTTCTTTGAGGCTTATGATCTTTTAACTACAAAGGAGTAAAGTAAAAAGAAATGATTATATGTAACATACTTTATACTTATTAAGTAAAATTTGTTTTGTACATGCAAAGCATAATATAGTATATTCTATCATGTTTTTTGTGAATGCATGTCTCAGATTCTGCTCTTCAGTGGTTATTTTTTTACTGATATGTTAATGAATCAGCTATTTTGCTGAACCTGTTGTGTCTCTTGCTACTATTTACAAGCAGAATTTGAGATGAAGTGAAGGTAAAAACTATGGGGACAAATTCTGAGACCTTAAAAAGCTTGCAATAGATTAAAAACAAAAACTGCCACAGTTTTGAAAGTTGAATTTCTAGTACTGTCATAGTCATTTCTTTTGAACCATATTAGGTGAGCAGCTGAGATTATGATGCCCATTTATTTCAGATAACCTTTTCTAATCACAGAATTATGTTAGGATAAATCACTTATTTTTACTTTAATGGCCGTAGGAAGTTAAATGTTAATATATTTTAATAACACTTCATAGTTTTTAAAACTCGGATACATTTTTATTTTATACATTCCTTAAGAAAACTCCATGAATTAGATAGAGCATGTGGAATCCTCATTTTTTAGATTTATAAACTGAAACTCAAAAAGCATTGGTGACTTGCCCAAAGTTACAAAGCCAGTAATTTATACCCAAATGTTTTTGATTCTAATAGGGCTATTTGTCTTTCTGCCAAATTAATATACTTTATGTACTGTAAATGTTTAATTATGTAATTGCCTATTGGAAAAACTACCCATAAGAAGAATGCATTCAATTTTTCTTTTTTCTGAGACAGAGTCTCACTTTGTTGCCCGGGCTAGAGTGAGTGCCTTGGCGACAGCATAGCTCATAGCAACCTCAAACTCCTGGGCTCAAGCAATCCTCCTGTCTCAAGCAGCCTCCCAAGTAGCTGGGACTACAGGCATGCGCCACCATGCCCGGCTAATTTTTTCTATATATATTAGTTGGCCAATTAATTTCTTTCTATTTATAGTAGAGATGGGGTCTCACTCTTGCTCAGGCTGGTTTCGAACTCCTGACCTTGAGCAATCTGCCCGCCTTGGCCTCCTAGAGAGCTAGGATAACGGGCGTGAGCCACTGTGCCCGGCCAGTATTCAATTTTTGATAAAAATTTTGCAGCGTATTTTTTTCCTGGTAATACAAAACAACTTCTTTAATAATTTAGGATTGTATGACCTCTCAGGCATGATTATGCATAATAATTTCTGTAGACACTTAGAGACATATAGGAGATGTAGGATATTTAACTTTAGCTATATTAATGATCTTACAGCGTACCCCTAATTAAAAGTTGTGTCCATGGATGGAATTCTGGGAGTTTATAAGTACTCTGAAATTGCATAATTTTGGCTTTATATCCTGGATTAGATTCTCAAAGAAATCCTTAAGAGGATCCCAGAAAGGTTAAGAACACTTACCTAAATGGTTCTTTTAAAAATTGCTTTGATAGTTCTCTGTGTTTTTTTTTTTATAGTGGGCGTTTTTAGTGGGTGAAATAGAGATAAAAATGTAATGAGGGTTATATTAGTGATATTTGGCTTCTAAATGGTTACTATTAGATGAGAATGAAAAATGCTTAATGACAAAAGGAATTTATTACAGTTAGTTAATAACTAGGGTTTCTTTTTAAACTTTGAATTCTAATCTGTCAACCTAAATGACTTTCCCAGGAATATTTAGTGACATTCATTTGCTGGCTATGATGTACAGTGGTGAAATGTGTTACTGGGGATTGAAGCATTGTGCTGATCAACAAGCAGAAAATCATGAAATGGATACTGGTGTTTCTGGAGCAAGCTGCACTACACACAAAGAACCCTTGGATTTCCGAGAAGTAGGAGAAAAAATTTTGAAGAAGTATGTGTCTGTGTGTGAAGGACCCCTGAAAGAACAAGAATGGAATACAACAAATGCAAAACAAATTTTAAACTTCTTTCAGCATCACTGTAACTAGTAAGTTCATCTACTAGTAAGTTCATCTAGTTCAAACAGAAAAACAAAAAGACCCATAAAATGGAAAAGAAAGTTCCAGAAAAGAAGACATATTAACAAGAATATTACACTGCATAAAGACATACAGCATGGGTACCCTTCTTTAAATGCCATCACCATCTTTTATTATATATTCTTAAACCCGTAAAGCAGCAGTCCCCAAGCTTTTTGACACCAGGGACTGGTTTCATGGAAGACAGTTTTTCCACTGAATGGGGTGGGGGTGTTGTAGGGGAGCTCAGGCAGTGATGTGAGCTATGGAGAGCGGCTCCAACCACAGATGAAGCTTTGAGCCCTTGCCACTGCTCATCTTCTGCTGTGTACCCCCCTTTCCTAACTTTCATGGAAGACAATTTTTCCACAGACCAGCAGGTGCAGGGGTAAGGGTAGGAGGGTAGGGCAGAGCTCTGAGGTCCCTCCAGTACTCGTCCAGGAGTTGGGGACTGCAGCTGTAAAAGTAATGATTCTATAGTTACTAAAATGACATGTATGTTATTCTAACTCAGTTTGAATTACAGATGTCCTGTAACTAATAATGAAGAGTAACCCAATTTAGCTTTACAAAGATTTATTTCTATTAGTTTAGATTATTTTTTTATTGTGGTAAAATATATATAATATAACAACTTACCATTTTAACCATCTTTAGATTATTTTTTAATCTCCTTATCTTAAAGTTTGCCATGCTTCAAAGATTAAAATCAAGTCACCTCATTGTTTTGAATATATACTATGGATATAAATGTAGGCAAAATGAAATAAGACTATGACTAATATTTAGATTCCATTTCTAGTAAGATAAATAATGAAAGACTCCACAAAGGAATCATTGTGTTTAATTATTTTGCCATATGTTACTAATTGTATTTAAAATTTTTCTTCTTATGGGTATTTTATAAAAATTTTAAAATGATTTTCCTATTTTGTTTTAAAAAATGCATGGCTTCTCAAATGAGTAATGAAGATAAAAATCAAGTTAGGTTAGCCCACCATTAGTTCATATGCTTTTAGGCTACATCTTTTCATATTGTATAGAAATTTTAATATTTTTTCCCTTTAATAATCGGGGGAAGTGTTAAAGGCTAACGAACCTAACTTCATACTGTGTTCATGGTCATTCTGTCTACCTCAACTCCTATTGTCATTTTGGGATGGTCATTCTGATACCTTGCTGATATCCTGGACTTCTGCCCCAGGGACTTTGTCATATTCCAGCTGTTCACTCCCATGGCCGCACCTTGAATGTCACCATGTTGAGTTTCTCTTTCTGAAATCTTAAATTTTAGTAACTGATGACAACTCTTCATCTTTTCAGCTTTTTCACTTCCTTATTTTATATATTTTTCTCCTATATGTGTGTGTATATATATATATTTTTTTATCCTTTCTACAATCTTTAGATTCTTCATAGCCTCCCTTTCTTGACTGCTCCCCTTACTCCTGAGCTATCAGCCCTTCAGATTTTCTTGCTTCCCTGTCTACCCTCAGCTTTATGGAGCACTGTATCAACTATTCTTATTAGTTGTTCCTTCTTCCCTTTGTCCTTTGCCTAGTCATTCTGCAAGCCCTCAACTGAGTTAATCCTATTTGCTATCTACCTTTTCTGGGATGCTGAGTTCTGCATGAAGGACATGCAGTCCTTCAAAGTAGAATCACTGCAAGTGTCTCCCTTTAATTTTAGAAAACCTCTCAGTGTAAGCATTCTGTTTATTACTAGGGTGGCCTCTCTCCCTTCTCCCACTGTGCCTGAACCAAACTTCCATCACTTTCCTTAGGCCCTCTGGCCATTCCCTAACATATGGCCCTTCCTCCAATCATACAGAAAATTGAGACTTGTTAAGAGGTCAACTTATATTTACCAACTTTATTCTTTTCCCCCTGCTTTAGAGGAAAAAAGGTTGCCTATTTGCTATAAAAAGCTAATATATGCTACAAGTTTCATCTCTGCTGTCTCCCTCATTTCCCTTGTGGCATCTCATTTTCTGCCCACTCTATAGATCGCTAGGTTTTGATATTCACTAGAGTTCTGTCCTCCTTCTCCCCCTAACTTTTTTCTTTATATTCTTAAGCAGTGTCATTTATAGCTATGGCTTCTTTTACCACCTGTAATATCAGACTGACTCCCAAACCTTTAAGTTGAATCTCAGCTTCTGTCTTGCTCCCTAAACCTTATTTCAAACTGCCTATTAAGTGTCTTCACTGAGACATCCTGTGGTAATTTTAAATTCAGTATGTCCAAACAATGAGTCTTCATCATTCATATAAAATCTTTTCTATTTCTTGTTTTATCTTTGGGTCTTCCACAGAGAGAGCAGGGTAACATGGAATACCTACTTTCCCAGAGTCACCTCTGCAGTCATCTTGAGTAATCATGTTCTAGTCCAGTGTTCCTGAAACTTTTAAAACCCAGATTCCTTCTTCATAAACATAAAAATTCTAGTACAGCCTTCAGGGAGAGGAGAATCTCTCCCCATCCTTGCCTCAGCCCCCTTGCTTATCCTATTATAGCTAAGAAGACTTTTATTTAAATTAGCATTTTAACAAGTCTTACTATGAAAATACCTTGTGCTTTCTAAGTATAAAGATTGAAATCATTATTAATATGGTTTTTAGAACCACAGACTATCTCTCCTCCTTTAAGAGCATCATGATCAATCAATTGCAAGTACTTCCAATTCCTTTCTAAAATGTATTTTGTGTTTTTTCAGCCTCATTACTCTTGTAGACATTATTATTGTTTCTGTGTCTGTCTTTTTTTTTTTTTTTTTTAAACAGAATCTCACTCTGTTGCCCTGGCTAGAGTGGCGTCAGCCTAGCCTACAGCAACCTCAAACTCCTGGGCTCAGGTGATCCTACTGCCTCAGCCTTCTGAGTAGCTGGGAATACAGGCATGCACCACCATGCCCAGCTAATTTTTTTCTATATATTATTAGTTGACCAATTAATTTTCTTCTATTTTTAGTAGGCTGGGGTTTCGCCTCTTGCTCAGGCTGGTTTCAAACTCCTGACCTTGAGCGATCCACCCGCCTTGGCCTCCCAAGAGTGCTAGGATTACAGGCGTGAGCCACCGCACCTGGCCTGTTTCTGTGTCTTTCTATGTGGCCAAGTGAATACCTATCTGTTTTTTAGGACTTTGCTTCAGTGATATGCTCAGAAGCTTTTTTTAGCCCTTTCCAGTCAAAATTAGATACTACTTTGTTCTGTTCCCTTAATCTTCCCCTCCCATGTCATTATACTGATCACATTGTTTTGTAATTATTTTCATTACTATTAAGAGTTGGTAAACTCTGTATTTTAAAAATTTATGTATGTACATAGTGCTTAATGTATGGTTGGCCCTTAGTAATATTTTATGAATTAATGAGGCATGATTCTAAATGCCAAACTGCACACAAAAAAAAGGTTGCTGCTATTAGATTCCAAACTGCCATGCCCTCTATACCAGTGGTTGACAAGGCATATAGGAATATATACAGTCCTCAGAGAAGTATTAATTTAGATTTCAAACCTGAGAAAACGAAAACTTTCAGAAACTGGGAATTTCCACTTTGCCTTCATGACCCTTGTTGACCACTTGGGTCTCACTGGTTGCTACAATTATGAGGGTTTTACTGGGTGCTTTTTGTACAACTTTCCATCCCCCACACAGTTGGAGAATAATCTGTAGACCATAACAGTTACAATGCTTTTTACTCTGGTATATGATAAAACAATGAACACATTTTGTATGTGTTAAAGACTGCTAAATAAATTCTGTTTCATTTAGAGTGAAGCAACCTCAAAGTACCAAATACTTCACATAAGGAAAGTATTAATACTACAAATCATTCACTCAACAACTATTGTGTGCCTACTACATGCCAGATTTTGTCCTAGGCACCGAGGTTATAGCTTTGTGAAACTTCCTCCCGTTTCAAAGCTTGTGTTCTAGTAGAGGAAGTTAGACAAAGTATTTTAAGAGGTAAATGTATAGTGTGTTAAGTAATGAGTACTGTGAAGAAGAATAAAGCAGAGTAAAGAAGGGGCTGTTGTGACATGGGGAGAGGTAGGATGCTATCTTATTTAGGGTGGTTGGAAGGCACCTGTCTGCTGCTTTAGCATTTGTATCTTCAAATTCCCCTTTCTTGGTTAAATTACTTGCATATTTAGTACATTCATAAAGTTTCTCTTTCTTATGAAAGTTCTGATACTGAATTAAGGAATGAATCACTGCTTAAGACAGGAGTCCTCAAACTACAGCCCGTGGGCCACATGAGGCCCACCAAAGACATTTATCCAGCCTGCCAGGTGTTTTTGCCACTGCTGCCTGTCCTGCTTAGCAGCCAACTGCTCCCGTTCCCACAGTGCACATGTGTGGAATTTGCGCCGCACTCTACAACGGCCCTCCAACGGTCTGAGGGACAGTGAACTGGCCCCCTGTTTAAAAAGTTTGAGGACCCCTGGCTTAAGACCTTCTCCTTTTGAGTACCTTTAAAGAGTTTCTCTTCAATGTGGGCTTTGCTAATGGGCGAGTGATACCTAAAGGCCTTGTTGCATTTTTTATGTTTTGGGTTTCTCTTCAGTTTGAATTCTTGGATGGCTACTAAAACTCAAACTCTGTTAAAGGACTTTTCACAGCCCTTAAATGTGTGTGGTTCTTTCCCACTATGAATTTTATGATGTTAACTAGGCCTTAAGACTGAGTTAAAGTCCTGTCTGCTATAGGGTTTCTGGCTACTGTGAAGTATTTGATGCTGATTAAGGTGCAAATCGTGACTAAAGACTTTTCCTTATTCCTTTGCATATGGTAGAGTGAGGTAAGAGTCATGGCTAAAACCCTACAATAAAATTACATTCCTAACTTTACAATCTCGCTGTGAATTCTCTGATGTTCATTAAAATGTTTGCTGTGTCTAAAGGCATTCCCAGATTCATCTTGATGACATTTTTTAAAACCCACAGCCGGTTAATATGCTGGTTTTAGATTGCTTGTCTCTTTCATCTTTCCACCTTCCAGGGCTCCTTTTCTGGCTCCTATAACGGTACCCCATCTGCCACAGCATCCGGGATTCTGTAGTTCTCTAGTATCACTTCCATATATTCTTTGTTAACAATATAAGATGATATCATGTTATGGAAATACTACGTTATGCACATTATGTATTCATGCTGATGTTTTTTTCATGTTTTTTGTTTTTTCTTCTAGTGAAAGTTTCCAAGTAAAATGTTTTAGAGCATATAATTGTTTTTTAAATTAAACCTTATTCCCCTACTTGTTTCTTGTTTTCTTTTATATTTGGTGGTTGCATCAGAATGAAAACTTTTATCATCTCAGTTTATTATTCTAACTTTTAAATGTTATTTCTTTTAGTCCTAATACCTTTCAAAGGCTGGCTAGTATAGTGATTAGAATTGTGGGGGTCTGGAACCAGAAGGCTTGAGTTTAAATTATAGCCTTTCCATTTTCTGTTTTACTCTGTGTAAGTTATTTAATCTTTCAGTGCCTTAGTATCTTATTTTTTAACACAGGATTAGTACTAGTTCTTACTTCACAGGATAGTGAAAATTAAATATTAATAAATTAATGTTCAGAGTGCCTTCATTCAGTGCTTACCACATGGCAAGAGCACAGAAGAGTTAGCTATTACTAGTATTAGTTTCCTTAATATCTAGTTCTGTTATAGGCATACCTCATTCAGCATGCTGACTCATGTTCCAATGCCTATCAGCCAGAACAATTGAATGACAAACTTTTGTTCTGATCAGTAAAGTATTGTCTTTTCTTTAGTTCAAGTCATGTTGATCTTTCTAGATGGAAAGCAGGATTCAGAGAAGATATTAGGACTCAGATAGGCATCTCAAATGGTTTTTGCAGTTATGAATGGAAGAAAACTTAGTTAATTTTCACAGAGTTTTCAGCCCTACCCTCCAAATGCATATATATCCACTATATTGAGATATATCTGTCATCTGAATATTATACATACCCTATCTAAAACTTCTACACATACTGATCAACCTGGTTGACTTGGTTTCTGGTACCTTTTGGTCTCACTCTTAACTCACAAGTCAGAGGCATTTAATGAAATATTAGTTATCTAAATAGTGTACATACCCCATTTAAAAAGAGGTTATTTTAAACCCTGGTACATCCACATGATTGAGTATTATGTAGCTGTAAACGTATAATTCTGTATAATGCTAGGGAGTGGTCTTACTAAGTGAAAAACAAAGTGGAGAAAGTGTATACTATAATTTATTTAAGAAAGAGGGGATATAAACTCTGTGTGCATATAACCTTATTGGTTTGTATTTTTTAAAAGCAGACAATGGAAGGATAACCCAAACTTTAGAAAACAGTTACCTATGGTGGGGGTAGGAAGAGAGGAATCAGATGGAAACGGCTAAGATAGAAACTAGATTTCTCTGAACAAGATTAAATCAAAGTTAAAAAAAAGAAAAGCCCTAAAAATCCAAAGCAAAATGGAACAAATAAACTGTACTGGTTATCAGTTTGGTGGTTTAAACGCACAGGAATGTTTCAGTTATCTTTAAGGTATGGTAATTTGTCAGTACATCCCTAGGCAAAGTGGTACATGCCCAAGGGCAAAAAGAACTGCAAAGAAATCTTAAACTCTTCAGTTATTAAATTGTTAATCATAACTATGCTAATATAATTAGAAATGAGGATTTTCAGTGTAAGAGAAAAAGACAATTATGAAATCGAAGAAGTAAAAAATCTGTAATCCTAAATTTGGGAAATAACAGTATGAACTTATATTTTCTCTTTATATAAAAATGACCCTAGAAAGGCCTAGAAATCATGTCCAAATACCATTTTCCATCAAAAGGAACCAGAGCTCCCTGGAAATATGGCTGATTCTGGGTCTTAGGCAGGACAATCACATGGTTGAAGGAAGAAGGAAATTTTTTCTTTAATTCATCTAATAAAAGGAATTATAGAATTAGAATACTAACATTTTATAACTTATAAGCAAATATTATTCATTGATAACTGATAAATCTTTGAGGTGAAAAGCTTATGGGGAATTTGAATGGATCAGGCCTTGAAATGATAGATCACTCTGAACATTAGAAAATGAGAATGACTTGTGACTTCCAATCTCAGTACGTAGTACCATTTATGAAATATTTTATAAAACTTGAATTTTACCAAGAGTGAGACGGAGGAATAGATGCCATCAAGAAAGTCAGAATGTGGTCCAGAAAGACCAACCTGGTTGGTTTCTTTAACAAATTGCAAGGGAAAATAAAGGAGGTGGAACTATAGAATAAAATTTAAGTTTTAAGAATATGTACAATGTGTGGACCTTGTTGGATTATTCTAAAAAACCAAATGTGTATTACTCAGCCATACAAAAAAAAAAACAAAAACCTTTTGTAACAACCTGGATGGAACTGAAGACCATCTTCCTAAGTGAAGTACTACAAGAATGGGAAAATAAACACCACATGTACTCACTATTAAACTGAAACTAAATGATCAACATTCACGTGTTCATACGGTAGTAAAATTCAACAGAAATCAAGCAGGTGGAAAGGGAGAGGAGGGGATAAGTTAATTCACACCTAACGGTACAATGCACACTATCTGGGTGATGGACACTTATAACTTTGACTCAAAGTGTACAAAAGTAATTCATGTTACCAAAATGTTTGTACCCCCATAATATTCTCAAATTTTAAAAAGTAAAATTATAATGACACTGCAAAAAACAAAAAGAACGTGAAAAAATTATTTTTGAAGCAGATGGGGAAGTTAAACACTGGGTATTTGGTGATTTTAAAGAATTAATATTGTTTAGGTGTAATGGGTTTAGTGTTACATTTCTTAAAAGATATTTTTTAGGGACAAGTACTGAGATATTTAGGAATGAGATGATATGTCTCGGATTTGCTTCAAAAGAATCCAGAATTGGAGGTGTGGTACTAGGTGAAGATAGTGACAGAGCAAAATTGACCACGTGTTGGTAACTTGACTCTTAGATATTGGGTATAGGAACTTATTATTCACTCTAATTTTATGTATTAATATGTTCAACATTTTTTGTCATAAAAATAAACTTTCTGTCAACAGATAACAATTCTTCATACTTGAACTGATTTTTTTATTTTTTATTTTTGTGCTAGTTCTTTTTTGCTCTCAAAGTAAATCACAGTCCATAAAGAGAGGAAAATTGCCAAATGGTTAATCAATTCATGTTTTTTTTTCTTATCTGGACAGCCTCACAGAACTGAGCCTGCAATTGGATTGGTTATTGTCCCCTAGCAATGGCATGCAAGAAAAATAATGAAAGTTAAATTTGGATCTCAGAGCCTCAGCTATCAAGCTTTATTGGATTTCTGTTATTTGACATTTAGATCCTCAGATACTTACTTTTTGAATGTACATTCACACCAGTGAACATTAAGTGTCCATTATTGGACAATAAGCACTCTGTTATGTGCTGATATATAATGTTAAATATATATATTTATTTATATACACACAACTTATTTATATGTACCCTGTAACCTACCATGATCCTTAAAGACTTCAACAGTTTTATGAAGATGCTGACCTTGTCTTCTATTTTGAAGACTATAAAGTTAACATTGGATTAATTTTTTAAAAAATTTCAAAATATTAACTGGGTACAAATGTTTTTGTTATATTGTTTGGGTCAGGGCTATAAATGTGCCCATCACTGGAATACTGTACATTGTATGCATTAGGTACAATGCCTACAATGGGAGGGTTTTTGCCCCTCCCCTCCCCTCCCCCGACTCCCTCTCCTCCCCACCTCTCTGCTTGATTTCCAATGACTTTTACTTCCCTCTGTGCACTTGTGTGCCCATCAGTTAGTTCCAAGTTAGTAGAGAGTATGTGTTTGTTTTTCTATTCTTGAGATACTTTGCTTAGGATGATGGTCTCCAATTCCTTCCAAATTGCTGGAAAAGGCATTAACTCATCCTTTTTATGGCTGAGTAGTACTCCACGGTATACATATGCCACATTTTGTTAATCTACTCATGAATTGATGGGCACTTGGGTTGATTCCACATCTTTGCAATTGTAGTAAATATTCGAGTTCAGGTGTCATTTTGATAAAATGACTTCTTTTTCTTTGGGCAGATACCCAGTAGTGGGATTGCTGGATCAAGTAGTTGATCTCCTTTTAGTAGTTTGAGAAATCTCCATACTATTTTCCATAGGAGTTGTACTGTGTATAAGCATTCCTTTCTCTTTGCATGCATGCCATAATCTATTGTTTTTGGACTTTTCAATAAAAGTCATTCTAACAGGAATAAGTTGATACTCATTGTGGTTTTGATTTGCATTTCCCTCCTGATTAGTGATGTTGAGCATTTTTTCATGTCTGTTGCCCATTTGTCTGTCTTCTTTTGAAAAACTTCTGTTTGTGTGTTTTGCCCATTTTTTAATGGGGTAGTTTGTTTTTTTCTTGCTGATTTGTTTGAATTCTTTGTAGATTCTGGATATTAGCCTTTTATTGGATGTGTAGTTTGCAAATATTTTCTCCCATTCTGTAGGTTGTTTGCTCTGTTGATTATTTCCTTAGCTGTGCTGAAGCCTTTTAATTTAATCAATTCACATTTATTTATTTATTTATTTTTTTGTTGCCATAACAATTAATGCCATGGGGGGATTAATTTTTAAATAAATGATTTGGGTTAGATGTGAGAGAATGTTTTGACAATTGAGATATAAAACAATGGTAGACAGTGGATCATAGCAAAATTCAGAAGTTCCATGTTTGAATATCTTCACAAAGAGAATGGATAGTTGCATGTCTTGGATATTGTAAGGAATTACTGGTTGAAAATGAGTTTATACCGGATTATGTGGAGATCTATTTATTATTTTGTTCATTCTCAAGAATGGAACTTTAAAACCACTAGATTATTTTAATTGGAGTGTATTTTTCTTATTGCATAGTATAACAGATGCTGTCTTGCTTTTACTGAGTAATACTAGAAATTTTAAGTTATATGCTATTTAATATAACATTAAATCAAAATATTCGTTTAAGCAACAGAGATCTAGTTTTGGAGCATGCTCTTTGGATTAGATTAAGTGTAGCAACCTATTGAAAATGACTGGGACATAATACTAAATAAGTATTTGTATCTTTTCTACCTTTAGAGACCATACCCAATTCTGTATAACGGATTATCTTGTAAAGTGGTCTCTGGCATAGTTTCTTAAAGCCCTTTTAAAGTAAAACCAAAGCAAGTATATGGGCATCTGTTTTGAGAGATAAAAAACTCACTAGTGATATTTCAAAAATACCACATTCTGGGTTCTCTTCTTCTAGCCATTTTTTTTTCTGCTCTTTTATGAGATACGTAAGTTCTGCAATTTTTTAATGTACTTATATTTTTGTATAGTGGGCCCAGACTCCTCATTTTGGCCAAAGGTCTTTTATGATTGGGCTGTTGACTGCCTCTATGATACTGATTTTCGCCAATCCCCAAGAAAACAAATGGTAAATTGGTGACTGAAGAAACAAACACAAAACAAAAAACTGACACCTAGTATAGCAGTGCTGAGAAGGAAGCGACTGGTTATTCAGCCCGAGATAGTGTAAGAGGGCTATCTACTGACCGAGCAGGAGTCGCCCAGGTAAAGTGGAAGTGGGCTGCAGACTTAGGGGACGTCTCGAGTGAAGGCAGGAAGTCAGACAGGAGCCCGAGATTTTGTAGCCGTGGGTGTGTTGCGGTGCCTGAGGGTCAGGCCGCCAGTGACTAGGAAGTGATTGTTGACGGGCGCTTCAAACGCGGCTCGGAACCACGCCCAGTTGGGCCAACTTCGCAGCCTCCTGCCGGGTCCGGGAGCCTAACCTGTTCCGGAAGCAGCTCCGCCAGAAGAGACAGGCGGGCGGCGGGCGGCGACCAGCCGGGGAGACGGACTAGCCAGCTTGTCCCCGCGGGCGTCACGTGTGGCGCCGGCGGCCATGGCGGGGAGCGAGCCGCGCAGCGGGACAAGCTACTCCCCGCCGCCGCCCAGCGACTGGAGCCGCCTGGAAGCGGCCATCCTCAGCGGCTGGAGGACCTTCTGGCAGTCCGTGGGCAAGGAGAGGCCGACGCAGAGGGCCCCGCGGGAAGAGGCGGACGAGGCGGCCAGTACCCTGACGCGGCTGCCGGTGAGCGTCCGCCTGGCCCGCGGCGGAGGGGTCGCCAGGGCCTCGGGGCCGCCTGCGTCAGGCCTGGTCCGCGCAGCCTTTCCGAGTGTCGACCCGGATGAGGGACTGAGGCAGACATCTCAATCGGAGGAGGTTTATTGAACTGTAGCTGAGGACTGCGCCTGGGAAAAAGACAACTGCAGACAAAGCTGTGGCTGTTTTTCTGGAGGGGGGTTGGAATCTTCTGCATGTTGAAGGCACACGGAAGGAAAAAGGCAGGGGAGGGCTCACATTCTGGTTAGGCCCAGGGAATCGGCATCGACATTTTACATAAAATAAGACGGATGTTAGAAGAGGAAAAGGGAGTGAAGGAAGCATTAATTATGTAGCTGTCCCTGAGTAGGTGGAAGAATGTCTGATTTTGTATGTCTCCATTTTTGTTGGAGTTACCTGTAAAGATAAACTTGTAATTCATTATTAATGTGGAATCAAATGGCTTTAGTTTTAGGTGCTAGACATAGTTACAGTTTGCATGTCCTTGCTTATGGGAGGTCAGTAAGGAATTTCCTTAATCAATCAGTGAATGATCTGTGGGGCCAGTTCTTCACAGGTGCCTGAGGTCTTTACTTTCTTATTTGCATAAGGAGTTGGGGGTGGCCCTGAAATTTTTATTTCCTTTTATATGTGCAACATTGTCATTTAGGAGCTACAATTGTCCAGACACGCCTTGGTGTTGACCCTTTGTGCCCCACAGCCAGCCCAGACATCACAGGGTGTCCTGGTGACCAGCCAGATCACCGTCAGGTTTTCCACCCCTAAAACAGGCCCATAAGACTAGGACACCATGAATGTTCGGTTAAGGAAATGAGACTATTCCTGACTTTTTGGTGTAAAGGAAAATAAAAATTTCAGGACTACCCCTAACTCTTTATACAAAAGAAAAAGTGAAGCCTGGAGACTGAGTCATGCAACACTCCTTTCCAAATGAATAGCTGTTACTATGCACTAGCCAGATCTCCACAGAAAGGGAAAAAGATGGCCGTGCCCAGTGGCTCACCACAGTAGCCTATCCCTCTAATCCTAGCACTTTGGGAGGCTGAGTTAGGAGGGTTGCTTGAAGTCAGGAGTTGGAAACCAGCCTGGATAACATACAGAGACTCTGTTTCTACAAAAAGTAGAAAAATTAGCTGGGCATGGTAGTGCACACCTGTGGTCTCAGCTACTCAGAAGGCTGAGGCAGGAGGATCCCTTAAGTCCAGGATTTTGAGGTTGCAATGAGCTTTGATGATGCCACTGTACTCTAGCCCAGGCAACAGAGTGAGACCCTGTCTAAAAAATAATAGAGGATGTCAGCCATCTAAAAAGGACTGTCCCCACAAATGATTCATAAGAACATTCTTTGCTGGCCTCCCTTAAACAAGGACATGAATATTGTAACTGTAAGCTAAAATAAAATCTTAAGCCCCACAGGTGACTGAATGGACCCCCTCCCTCTAGGCCAAGGAAATCCCAGAAAAAACTTAAAGCTGAGTTGCTGGCCATGAGGAGAAGGGAAGTCAGACAGGCCTAATTATGCCCTGTCCCTTTTGGAGTTATTCTTTGTTAACAGTAAGATACAAAATCATTAACAGACCAAAGATCATATAAGACAAAGGTGAAACCACACCTACAGGTCATCAATTTACTTAATAGATCACTTGAGTCTCTTTATATGTCTGGCAGATTATCTCTGATTAACAGACTTCCTTAACTTTAAAATATTCCAAGCCTTTACACAAAACTTCATTTCTTTAATCAATTATAGTATGAATCAAAGGGTCTTTAGACCCTTCTATAATTGTAAACCCACCCTACCCCACCCCTTTTGAGGTGTCCTGTTTTTTCAGGCCAAACCAATATATGCCTTCCATGTATTGATTATGACTTAATGTGTAATTCTTGTCTCCCTAAAATGTATAAAACCAAACTATAACACAGGCACTGCAGGATCACTTGCTCAAGGCTTCTTGGGCATCACTCTTTGGGCCATGGTCACATATTTTCAGCTCAGAATAAACCTCTTTAAATTATTTTACAGAGTTTAGGTTTTTTTCCATTGACATAACTTTAGATCTGCAGACTAAGTCTAGCTCCTAAAACTAAAATCTGTTCAATTCCACACTGATAATGTTGATTATAAGTTTATCTTCCCAGGTGCAGAACAGAGACAAGGAAATTAATCATTCCTCTGCCTACCCAGAGATATCTGCATAATTGATTCTTCCTTTACTTTCTTTTTCTCTTCAAATATTCACTTTATCTTATGTAAAAATGTAGATTTTTCTGGACACTAACTAGAGAGTCACAAGAATGTAATCATTTGTCTTACACCTACCTGCCCCTTTTCCTACACACCTCCTCCCCTTTAAGGAAATATATAAATACTAAACCTGAAAAACTCTTTGGGAGAAAAAAAAACAATCACAGATGCATCTGTGGCTTGTGTTTTTCCTGAACATGCCCTGGCTTACTAAACCTTGATTGAGATCCTTGCCTCACTCATTTAGGGTTGTCTCTGATTAATTAGCTTGGAAAAGCATTCCAGCATCCATCTGTCTTCCCAATATCTTTCATCCCAGGATCAATGTGTCA